CTCACGCATCCATCCACCCACCCATCTACCCACCCACCTGATCATACGCCCATCCATCCACCCACTCATCCATTCATCCGGCCACCCACTCACCCATCCATCCATTCTCATCCCTAATTCATCCACCCACCCACCCATCCATCCATCCTCCCATCCATCCATCAATTCATCCACCCATCCCCTCATCCCCCACCTCCTTCATCCCCATCCCCCATCCATCCACCCACCCACCCACCCATCCATCAATCCACCCAACCATCCACGCACCCATCCACCCACCCGTCCAATCCCTCCCTCCATCCATCTACTTACCCATCATCCACCCATCACCCCTGCAGAATGTAAGGGTCTGAGGTCAGTGATTGTGAGGGCACTTGCCCTGTGCCAGGCTCTGTGCTCATCAGGTGGTGACAGCCCAGTCAAGCCCCCAATTTCCCATCCTGTGGATGCAGAAACCGAGGTTGAGAAGGGGAAGTGACGCACATGGGGTCAGCCCAGGAAGGTGGGGAGGCAGGTGGACTCAGGCATCGGACTCTAGAGCCCGCCATTATCCTCCTGCCTGGGGGACACGGGGCACGATCTCTGCCCTGGGAACATCTCAAGGGACACACAACATGTGAGTGGTATATCCTCCCCACGTGGGCCTACAGATGGGAGACCCGCAGCCCTGCCCCTCAGCGTCCCCGGTGTGTGATGATTAGACTGGGGTCACCCCACCGTGCCAAGTCCATGAGTCAAAGGAGGTGTCTTTGTGCCCCGGACCCAGGTCAGGCCTGAGCTGTGCCGAGACATGGAGAGGACAGTGCACAGGATCCTTGCTTTACCACTGCTGCCCCAGGCCTTCTAGAAAATTCTTCCAGATCCTTGGTCAGGAACGTGGTCCCTGCAGGTGGTTAGAGTTATTCGAACTCTTACTAGCTCTGAGGATGGAAAGGTTGGCGTGGAAAAGTTGGCCTTCAGGCACAGCTGGATCCTGGGCCTCAGGCAGCAACTTTAAGAATCCAGACTCGGCCAGACGCAGTGGCTCATGTCTGTAACCCCAGCACTGTGGGAGGCCGAGGCGGGGGGATCGCTTGAAGCCAGGAGTTTGAGACTAGCCTGGGCGACATGGAGAATCCCTGTCTCTGCAAAACATACAAAAAATTAACTGGGCATGATGGTATGTGCCTGTGGGCCCAGCTACTAGGGAGGCTGAGGTGGGAGGTTCATTTGAGCCCAGGAGGTCAAGGCTGCAGTGAGTTATGACTGTGCCACTGCACTCCAGACAGGGCAACAGAGCAAGACTCTGTCTCTTAAAAAAAACAAAAAGGCGGGCCGGGCACGGTGGCTCAAGCCTGTAATCCCAGCACTTTGGGAGGCCGAGGTGGGTGGATCACAAGGTCGAGAGATCGAGACCATCCTGGTCAACATGGTGAAACCCCGTCTCTACTAAAGATACAAAAAATTAGCTGGGCATGATGGCACGTGCCTGTAATTCCAGCTACTCAGGAGGCTGAGGCAGGAGAATTGCTTGAACCCAGGAGGCGGAGGTTGCGGTGAGCCGAGATCGCGTCATTGCACTCCAGCCTGGGTAACAAGAGCGAAACTCCGTCTCAAAAAAAAAAAAAAAAAAAAAAAAAAAAAAAAAAAAAAGGCCGGGCGCGGTGGCTCAAGCCTGTAATCCCAGCACTTTGGGAGGCCGAGGCGGATGGATCACGAGGTCGAGAGATCGAGACCATCCTGGTCAACATGGTGAAACCCCGTCTCTACTAAAAATACAAAAGATTAGCTGGGCATGGTGGCACGTGCCTATAATCCCAGCTACTCAGGAGGCTGAGGCAGGAGAATTGCCTGAACCCAGGAGGCGGAGGTTGCGGTGAGCCGAGATCGCGCCATTGCACTCCAGCCTGGGTAACAAGAGCAAAACTCCGTCTCAAAAAAAAAAAAAAAAAAAAAGACAAGAGTAGAATCCATCTCTGGCCATCTCTTGGGCTGGCCCGGAAGGCCGCAGACGCTTCAGACTCACGTCTCAGCTGAGCAAACCTGTGGTGGGAGTGAGCTCATCCCCCAGATGTCCCTGAAAGTCCTGGGACCAGCACGGTGGCATCCCCGTCCGCTGGCTGGGAGGCCTCACTCCTGTATCACTGCATCTCCTGAAGACACTAGAACAGCCCTGGCCACTCTAGACGCGGGCACCCAGCAGCCCCCTCACACCCTGTCATTCCCTTCCCCGGGGAATGCCCCACCCCACCTCCCGGGGAACTGACACCTAGCCCTGTCATCTCCTCTCTTCTCCCATTTTTTTCTTTTTCGAGACGGAGTCTGGCTCTGTGGCCCAGGCTGGAGTGCAGTGGCGCAATCTCAGCTCACTGCAATGGGCTTTCACCATGTTGGTCAGGCTGGTTTCGAACTCCCGACCTCAGTTGATCTGCCTGCCTCGGTCTCCCAAAGTGCTGGGATTACAGCCGCGAGTCACCGTGGCCAGGCTTTTTCTATTTTTGACGGAGTCTCTCTCTGTCACCCAGGCTGGAGTGCAGTGGCACCATCAATCTGGGCTCACTGCAGCCTCAAACTCCTGGGCTCAAGCGATTCTCCCCCATTCAGCCCCCGAGCAGCTGTGACGACACGTGTGTGCCACCACGTCCGGCTTCCTCCCAGTTGGGAGGTGCCTCTCCTCTCTCCAGCCAGCAGCTAGCTGACAAGCTGATCCCACTCGGGGCTCCCCAGAGGTAGGTGCTCCCCAGAAGCAGTGCTCCCCAGAGGTAGTGCTCCCCAGAGGAGCACTCCTCAGGGCCTACTCCTTGCAGCACCAGACAAAATCTCCTTCCACCTAATCTGTCAGAACCCCTGGAGCTGCAGGAACCCCCATATCCTTCCAAAAGACTCTTCTCCACCCCCCTTGACATCTGTCCCATCTTTGACCCCTTCACCCCTTGGGGCTGTTCTCACTGTCTTCCTGGCCCAACTGCAGGGAGGGGAGGGGGCGTCCGTGCACCAGCACCTCCCCGTGGCCGTCTGCAGTCTGGCTGAGGCCCAGAGTCAGCCCAGGTCATAGGATATGCGGCCGGCAGGCGAGTCCAGCAGCTCTGTACAGCCGTGGCCAGATCCAGGTTAAGAGTCCCTCCCCTCCCGCAGTTCCCTGGGGCTGCCATGCCCAAGTGCCCGTAAGCTGGGGCCTAAACGTTGCAAAGGAATTCTCCCTGTCCTGGAGCCCGGCGGTCTGAGGTCAAGGCGTGGGAAGGACCACGCTCCCTCCGGAGGCGCCATGGGAAGATCTTTCTCCCCTCCTCCAGCTTCAGGGGTTCCAGGCGTCCTTGGCTTGTGGCCACGTGGCTGCAGCCTCTGCCTCTGTCTTCCCAGGACGTTCCGCCCCACATGTGCGTCTGAGTCTCACATCCTTCCCTCTCCCCGTCTCTTATAAAAACACTCACAATTGGATTTAAGGCCTGATGTAAATCAGGATGATTTCACCTTGAGATCCTTAATTATGTCTACAAAGACCCTTTTTCCAAATCAAATCACATTCTCACATTCTGGGGGACCTCTTATTTTGGTGGGGGGACACCATTCAGCCAGTGACATGCCCCTCAGTCTCCCCGAGCAGGAGTTTGGGCCTAGAAACACCCACGTTTCACAGAGGAGGGAGTTCCAGGCCAGGGACCTGGGCAGGGCTGGGCTTGAACTCAGGCGTCTGTGTCTGGTGGGTCCTCTCCAGCTCAGCCTCCTTACCTCCTCCTGGAAGCCCTCCAGGCTTCTCTTCCACACATGCTTTTTTTTTTTTTTCACTCTGTCGCCCAGGCTGGAGTGCAAAGACGCTATTTCGGCTCACTGCAACCTCCGCCTCCCAGGTTCAAGCAATTCTCTTACCTCAGCCTCCTGAGTAGCTGGGATTATAGGCATGCACCACCACATTCAGCTATTTTTTTCTGTAATTTTAGTAGAGACGGGGGTTTGCCATTTGTCCAGGCTGGTCTCGAACTCCTGACCTGCGACACACCCGCCTCAGCCTCCCAAAGTGATGGGATTATAGGCGTGAGCCATCGCGCCCAGCCTGAAATGTGTTTCTTTCCTAGTGGGTTCTAAGCCCCAGGCCCCTCCCCAAGCCCGCAGCCTGCGTGCCCGGCCTTGCCCCGTCCCCAGAGCGGCCCATCCTGCCACCCAGGGGCTTCCTCGCCGCTCTGGGACGGCGCTGGCTCCGCTCACCGCAAGTCCGGCCTCTGGTCTCGCGCACTTTCCTCCCGGACTCGACCCCAGCCCTGACGAGAGCCATCTGGTGGCCCCACGTGTCAAGGTTTCCAGAGTGGTTGTGGGGATGATCACAGCTCAATCGTCCTTCACAGACCAGGAGCTATGAGTCAAACCTGGGATGGGCATTTCCAGGCCTCAGTGTCCCCATCTGCACAGCTGCCGAACGGTCTGCTGGGATGGGTCCCACACACCCACAGAGCTGGGCAGAGATCCCCGAGGAGGGACAGTCCGAGTCCCCTTTCTCCGTGGAACCCATGGTTGGACACCCACTGGGACGTGGGGGGCCTGAGGTCTGCTCAGGGGGAGCCCGGCTAGACCCGCCCCCACAGACCCGATCCCTTTTTCTGGAACGAGACAGTGCCTGGCTGGGGGAGGGGGAAGAGCCTGGACCACGGAACCGGGGGTGGGCGGTGGGGGGCTGGATCCCAGTGTCCCTGCCCCGGGGCTGCCCCCCTGGCGCCCACCCCCCACACCACGCTGAGGCCGTGAGCTCACATGTAGAAAAGAGGCTTTATTAAGAAGGCTTTGAAGTCAAAAAATAAAACTCTTGATACAATTTTTTTAACCCTTAAATCAGCTCAGCAAATATATAATCAGTAATTTAGCTGTGTAAGATTAAAGGTCCATTACTTTATTTAAAATAAAATATATTTTAGTTCTTAAAATTTATTCCATAAAGTACATATTTCCCTATAAATTCCCTACATATACACAAGAGGTAAAAAGTAAAAAAAAAAAAAAAAAAAAAAAAAAAAAAAAAAAAAATTAAAAATTTAAAAAATGACAACAGAAACGGCAGTAGAAAGGGGATTAATAATTAACAGAAAGTTAGAAATTTCTGATTGGAACGCCCCTCGCCCCCCACCCCCCTGCGCCCCTCCGGCTGCGCATGGTTCATGTACAAAAGCATAAATGGTTAGCCCCAAAACGGGAGTAAAAACGTCACCCTCCTCCTCTGGAAACCTCTGTGCAGGCTGAGACCAGCCGCCGAGAAAACAGTCAAATCAGAAAACGGTTTCGGACAGAAGGAAAACACCGAGCACTGTAAAAAAACTGTGTGTGTGTGTTTTTTTTTTAAAGACCACCCTGGAGGGGAGGGGTGCCTAAAAAATAAAAAAAAAAAAGGAAAAAAAAGTGCAAGCGGACCTTTTCTCTCTGGTTTATTGTAACCTGACCACTGAATACTGTCACGGAAAGGCGGGGGCGCCGCCGGGCTGCGGGGTCTCGGTCTCCACGCCTGGGACGGGAGTTAAAGCGCATCTGTGAACACGGCCCCGCCCCCGCCGCCCCCGCCCCTCCCCGCCGGCCCCGCAGGTGGCCACGTGCAGGCGCGCGCTCTAGGAAAAGATATGAATGGCCTGCGTGGCCGGCGTGCGGCAGGCGGGACACTCGGGCTCGCTCTTGCCGCAGATGCGGACGGCGCAGTCCATGCAGAAGAGGTTGTGGCCGCAGGGCACCAGCGCGGCCATCACCTCGCCCTCCGCGCACACCACGCACTCCCGTGCCAGGGCCGGCGCCGGCGCGGAGGACGCCGACTGGGGCTTGCGGCTGTTCTCGGAAGCGGTACCGGAGTCCAGCGGGGCGCAGGAGGTGGCGGCGGGGCTGCCGGGCAGCGAGGTGGCCGTGGAGAAGGCGGCGCCGCCAGGGAAGGTCAGGGGCCCCTGTGGGGGCCGCCAGGATAGCGCGCCCACCGGGTCCGGGGCGCTGCGGCGGGACAGCGGGAGCTCCAGGCGGAGGCCGCCGCCGGGCTCAGGCAGCGTGGGCGAGTGGCGGGGAGTCCCCGCCCCACTGCTGCGCCGGGCGCTGGCGGCGGGCGGTCCCGGGGCCCCGTTGACGGTGGAGCAGCCGCTGAAGGCGGGCAGGGGGGCCGCGCGCTCGAAGGGCGCCCAGATGGTGGCCGCGGCGGGCACGGTCAGGTCCAGCGCCAGGAAGTCGAAGCCGAAGTCGCAGTCCTCAGGGGCGGCGGTCCCCACCGCGGCGCCCGCATCCTCTGCGCCGAAGGCGAAGCCCGGGTTGCCAGAGCCGCTGTAGGGGCTGGCGGGACCCGGGTCCGGGACAGGGGGACCCCCGCGGCTGCCCGTGTAGAAGGCCTCGGGGGCACTGGGGGCGCCCAGGGCCGTGTCCCCGCGGAGGCCAGCCGTGGCCGTGGGGGGCCGTCGTCCGGGGTTGGGTGTCTTGGCCCAGAGGCTGGCGGCCGCCCCGAGCAGGTCCAGGCAGACGTCGGTGCCGTTGGCGTGGAAGTCGCTGTCGGGGCCCGCATCGGTGAAGGCGCCGGTGCGCAGCGTGATGTGAGCCTCGATCTCCTCGCGCGCGCGGTCCACGTTCTCAGGCATCCCGGTGACCGCGAACACCGGCTCCTTGTCGCGGCCGGGCGTCACGATGTAGGTGTGCGTCCGCTGCTGGATGCGCTTGATGGTGGCGCCCTTGGGCCCCACCACCAGCCCCACCACCCGGTAGGGCACGCGCACCTGGATGGTAGTCTGTCCCGGGAGGTTGGGCGGGCCCTGGGCAGTGCCGGGCAGACCCCCAGCCTTGCTGCGCGTGGCACGGATGATGGAGAAGTGTTCCGCCGCCGACAGGATCTCACGCTTGGCCATCTCCACGTCCTCCTTTCGGCCTGTCACGATGAAGACTGGCTCCTCACCCCGCACCGGGGTCTTGATGTAGGTGTTTGTCTTGGCCCGCAGGGCCTTGATCTTGCAACCTGCGGGGGAGGGGAGAGAGAGACAGGGTGACCCCAGCCCCCTGTGCAGCTGTGCCCCTCTGGGGATGCGGGGCCAGTGAGGGAGCCCCTACCTCCCAGCCTGTGCCCAACACCACGTCATCCTCAGACACCAGGTCCCTTCCTTCCCGAGCCTCAGTTTCCTCTCTGGGCTTCTGGGGTTTGGCATAAAAGCAGGCGGCAAGCGGACGGTTTTAGGCTGAAAGGTGTGCCCGGTCAGTTATGTACACCTGGAACTGCAGGGTGTCATGGATGGGGTGTGAATGTTCAAGTTCATAAGCTGGACCCTAATACCCAGTGTTGATGTATTAATAGGTGGCTCAGCTGGGCACGGTCCCAGCACTTTGAAGAGGAAGAGGCAGATCACCTGAGGTCAAAAGTTTGAGACAAGCCTGGCCAACGTGATGAAACCCCATCTCTACTAAAAATATTAAAAATTAGCCCAGCATGGGTAATCAGCGGGCACCAGTAGTCCCAGGTACTTGGGAGGCTGAGACAGGAGAATCTCTTGAACCCAGAAGACAAAAGTTGCAACGAACAGAGATCCCACCAAAGCAAGATTCCATCTCAAAAAAAAAAAAAAAAAAAGCGGGCGGGGGGGGGACTCTGCGGAGTGGTCAGGCCACCACCCTCATAATGAGATTCGTGCTCTTACCGCAGAGGCTCTAGCTAGCTTCCCTGCCCCTTCTGCCAGGCCAGGACACACAATCTCCGTGCCAGACACAGAATCTGGGGCGCCTGATCTTGGACTTCCCAGCCTCCAGAACCATGAGCGGCAAATGTCTGTGGTCTGTAAATTATGGCAGCAGGGACAGACTAAGTGACCCCATTTGTAAACAGGGTCTCTGCAGTGTAAGTAGCTGAGATGAGGTCACACTGGATTAGGGTGGGCTACAAATCCTTGTCAGAAGAGCCACAGGCCCATGTGGGGGCTCACGCCCGTAATCCCAGCACTTTGGGACTTCAGGAGGCCGAGGCGGGCAGATCACCTGAGGTCAGGAGTTTGAGATCAGCCTGGCCAACATGGTGAAACCCTGTCTCTAGCAAAAATACAAAAATTAGCCAGGCTTGGTGGTGGGTGCCTGTAGTCCCAGCTAGTCAGGAGGCAGAGGCAGGAGAATCATTTGAACCCGGGAGGTGGGGTTGCAGTGAGCTAAGACTGCACCACTGCACTCCTGCCTGGGCGACAGAGCAAGACTTCGTCTCAAAAAAAAAAAAAAAAAAAAAAAAAAAAAAAAAAAAAGCCTCAATTAGCCGGGCATAGTGGCACACACCTGTAATCACAGCCACTGGGGAGGCCGAGGCAGGGCAATGGCTTGAGCCTAAGAGGCAGAGGTTGCAGTGAGCCAACATCACGCCACTGCACTTCAGCCTGGGCAACACAGCGGGACCCTGTCTCTACTAAAAACAGCAACAAAAAATTAGCCAGTGTGGTGGTGCACACCTGTCGTCTTTACTTGGGAGGCTGAAGTGGGAGGATCATCGGAGCCTGGGGGTGGAGGCCGCAGTGAGCTACGATCTCACCACTGCGCTCCAGGCTGAGTGAGAGGGCAAGACCTTATCTCAGAAAAAAGAGAAGGGGACACAGACACACACAGAGGAGCTGGCCTTGTGGGGACAGACAGAAACAGACTGCAGTGGTATCTCTTCAAGTCAAGGGGCGCCAAGGACTGGCCACAGCCCCCAGAAACTGAAGGCACCCCACCGCCCACCATGAGGCCCTCCCTGCCCACACCTTGACTTAGAAGTTTCATCTTTCAGAAATGAGAGGAGAGTTTCCACTGTTTCAGGCCCCCGGTGTGTCAGCCCAGGGGACAAACACAGACCCACCTCCCGGTCTAGCAGCAGGGGAAGCCGGGACTCAGATGGCATAAAGTGCCCACAGTTTCCTTCCAGCCAAAAGACCCTCCCGAGACTACAAAGACCCCGGCCCGAGAGGAGGTCTCAGCTGGACTGCCGGCACTGCACCCAGACTCCAGACACCTCGGCAGGCCGCGGGTGGGTCCCTGAGGGGTCTGCTGTGGCTTCCTCCTTGGTGGGGGGCCTGATAGTCAGTGTGGGGGGCAGGGCTCTCCACCCATTCTCTAGGCAGCCACTGACCAGGTGTGGCCTTCCTGGGGTCCTAGACATCCCTACCCTCTCCTCTGGGGCCTCAAAGAGTTTTTTTCTTTTTCTTTTTTTGAGATAGTCTCACTCACTCTGTCACCAGGCTAGAGTGCAGTGGTGTGATCACAGGTCACTGCAGCCTTGAACTCCTGGGCTCAAGTGATCCTCCTGAGGTGGGCACCACCATGCCCAGCTTATTTATTAATTCTATCTTGAGACGGAGTTTCACTGCTGCCCAGGCTGGAGTGCAACGGTGCAACCTCGGCTCACTGCAACCTCTGCCTCCCCGTTCAAAAAATTCTCCTGCCTCAGCCTCCTGAGTAGCTGGGATTACAGGCGTCCACCACCACACCCAGCTAATATTTTGTATTTTTAGTAGAGACGGGGTTTCGCCACATTGGCCAGTCTCATCTCAAATTCCTGACCTCAGGTGATGCACCCGCCTTGGCCTCCCAGAGTGCCGGGATTCCAGGCGTGAGCCCCTGCGCCCGCCTATTTTTATTTTTTTGTAGAGATGGGTTCTATGTTGCCCAGGATGGTTTCAAACTCCTGGGCTCAAGCAATACTCCTGCCTTGGCCTCCCAAAGCGCTGGGATTCCAGGCGTGAGCCACCAAGAGATGCCACCCCCTATGCCCCCAGGGTCTGGGGAAACAGAGGGCCTTGGATATTGTTTGAAAACAGTCAGCAAGTGGGTCTTCGAGGAGAACAGTGTGGCTACATGTCCCAGAGTGAACGAGAAAAGGAGCAGCACCAGCACTCCTGACAAGGAAGGGTCAGAAAGTGCCTGCGCCAGGAGGGTGGAAGGTGCGGGGTCTGCAGGCTGGTGGTTCCAGGGGCTCAGTGGGGAGGACCCTGGGAGGAAGCAGCGGGGGCACACCCGCTCAGAGGGGGCCAGCAGTTCTCCCACCCCAGCTGCACCACCTCCACACCTGCCCTTCCCATCCAAAGCATTCTGTTCACCTCCATCACACCCAGTCCCCTCCATTTCTCTATGCAGTCCAGTGTCACCCTCCTCCAGGAAGCCAACCCTGACTGCACTGGGTTGGGCCTGCACTTCTGAGTCTCTCCTCACATGCCTTTTTTTGGGGGTGGAGTCTCCTCTGTCACCCAGGCTGGAGTGCAGTGGCACGATCTTGGCTCACTGCAACCTTCACCGCCCGGGTTCAAGCGATTCCCCTGCCTCAGCCTCCCAAGTAGTTGGGATTACAGGTGTGTGCCACCAAGCTTGGTTAATTTTTGTATTTTTGGTAGACACAGGATTTCGCCATGTTGGCCAGGGTGGTCTCGAACTCCTGACCTCAGGTGATCTGCCCGCCTCCGCCTCCCAGTGTTGGGATTACAGGTATGAGCCACCGCGCTCGGCCACATGCCTAACTTTCTGAGCTGCCTCCCTGAGGCCGGGGGTCCAGGCTGGGAAGCCCCTGGGCCCTAGGAGGACCCTGCTATGCCTGTTTCTTCACTGTGAAAGGGAAAAGGTCACTGGCCTGGCTTCACTGGCTGGGGGCGAGCCTCAGTCGGTCATGGCCATGCAGGTGGCCCCGGCAGCCACCCTGGCAGGTCTCACTACAGCCCAGTGTTTGCTTTAGGCAGATCCTCATTGAGGAGGGGAAACTGAGGCACAGAGCGAGGGGACCCAGCAAGGCTGGGGCAGGAGGTGCCACCCACAGATGGGGGCTCTGCTGGCCCTGCCCACAGGCAGGAAGTGAGCCTCTTCCTATTACACAGACCCGGCAGAGAGCAGAGCCCGCCAGTGAGGGCATGGTGCAGCACAGGGTGCTCCCTTGCTGATCTGTGACCCGGGTCCCCAGAGGAGGTCACACATGGGAGAGGCTGCCCCTGAGCTCACAGGCTGTGGTCACAATAAGTCTGGTCTGGATGAGATGACAAATTTGGGAGATGGGGCTGGCGGGAAGGAGGCTGGAAAGGGACCATGGGGAAGGGGGCATGTGACTGTGTGGGCAGAAACCAGGATGGTGCTGGGAGCCATGGGTGTGTCGGGGCAGGGGGTGGGGCAGCCTCCAGCTCCCCTTGCCCAGCCCTGTCCTATCCCCAGTGGTGGCTCAGGGTGGAGCCTCACAGCTACAAGGCCTCTAGGGTCCCAGAGACAGAACTGGAGCCCAGTTCACAGATGCTGCCTCTGCTTCAACACGTGCTGGCCCCCAGGCCCCACCCACATCAAGACCCAAAGAGGCCAAGGAATCAGGGCTCCAGGAGTGACCTCCGCCCCACCCTCGCCCCCGTGGAAATGACACAGCGAGGCCAGAGTGACAGGAAGCCCAAGGTGGGGGGCCTGGGGGACACCAAAGGTTGGCAGGCACGGAAATGCAGATTCCTGCACCATGCCCCCCAGGAATCCATCTCTGAGGGCTTGGGATGCCTGGGAATTGGGGTGACAGCCCCAGAGGCTGGCCCTGACCTGTCCCATACCCCCAACCCAGAGCAGCCAAGTCTTCCCATGCCCAGGCAGGGCCTCGGGGCCCCACGCAGAGCACACACCAGGGTGTGTCACTGATCTGACCTGGCCGGGGTCCCAGCTGCAGATGACCGTGCACTACGGGCTCACCCATGAAACCGCAAGTCCTGGCATGGGAGCAGAGGCCACCACCCCAGGCTGGACGGGTTTGCCACGGCACGAAGGGGGATGTGAATCCCAGGGAGTCGCTGAGGGAACAGCAAGAGAATAATTCTGGAAGCAGGACGGGGCGAGGACAAAGCTCCACAGCCAATACTCCGTTCAGCATGCGGCCGCCCCTACACAGGCATCGGGCCGCGCGGGCTGCCATGGGAGTGGAGCGGTCCCGGGGAAGGAAGGAAGCTGGCTCTGCTGTCAAACAGGGACAGCAAAACCCCACTTCCAGGCCGGGCACAGTGGCTC